AAAGGATGAAATTTATTGCTATCGAATAGTTACTGAAATTAAATTGATTGACATATTTAGCCTTGTTTCTTTTCAACATTAGGTGAAATATTTGAAATTGCAACTCTGATCTTCATCAATCGTCGATTTCGACGATCATATTTTATAATTTTCATTTTCAAAAATATACTAATAAATAAATAAATAAATAAACTCACTATTTTCCTACAGTAAATAATTATTTGCCTGAAAAAGTAATTTTAACATAAACAAACATCTTCAAATTCACTGTTGCTTTATAAATCAATTATTTCTACTTAAAATTCTTTGGAAATTATTTCAACGTCAATATTGTGCGATATCAAAATGATTTCATTTTTGCTTTTGAATATAAAATTTTTAGATTTCAGTTAAGTGAAGTTGAAGAACTATATACGGTTTGCGGATTGTTTACCTTGCTGATCTATAAAATAATGGAAATCATATCAAAATTCATGCAATATTTGCACCCAAAGACAGATGACCATCAAGGACTTTATTTTAAAATTATTTAAAAATTAAGTATCTTTTTATTTGAGAAATGTCGTTGCGTATAAAAAGATAATAAAGTTCTTCAATATAAAAAGCATAGATATCTATGTAGATATATATAAATCTTAACAAAAGACATAATTTTCTCAAGCACTTTGCTATTTGAAGAAAGCAAATTTGAACAAAATATGCGATGTTAAAATATTTTGTTAATAAATAATCTGCAAGCACATTTTATATTATGCACACGTAAATTCTACTTAAGTCCTAGTTCCTAAACTAATGATATTTTTATATTAAAATGTAAATATATTGTAATGATATACACAGGTACAGCAGATTCTTCGATCACTGTTGAAGCTATGAAAAATTCTCCGGTTGGAATTAATTTTGTCACAGTAGGTGAAAAAGTCAGTTACTTACTGAAACTTGATGAAACTTTCGTATTACCTGATTGTATGATTAATAGATCAAGAAAAAATGAAAATAATCTATACAGTAGGTGTAACACACTCTATAAAAGTTATCGTAAATTTCTTTATTTATAAACATTCTTCGACATTCATGTTGCAGCTAATGAATTATTGATCTTTGGACAACTAGGAATTTCAAAGATGACAGAAATTATGACGCTAATATGCCCTGGAATAAAAGACACAAGCAGTGGTATAATTATAAATATGGATTATAAGGTACATTATTACACTCTAAATTGAATTTAAAATTTGAAATCAATGAATTTTTAATAAATGAACTATTAGTTAGTAGAATCATCATTATTATTTGATTGTATTTACTCTGATATTTTTAACTTTTGAATATCATAATGGTGTTTAAATGATGTTATTATACATTATCAAATTTTAGCGTTATGTCAGATTTAATTTAAAACGAAACAAATGGTAATTTATACTAAAATTAAAAAATAACGATTAATAGATAGCTTATTATTTTTTATAATCACTTGTGATTAATTTTGTATGTTAATAAATTCCAAGTAAAATTGCACAATACCAATAATATTAGTAATTATAATCTTCATACGTCATTATCATGTAATTTTTACCTTGTATAATATGCATTGAAACAATTATTAATTAAAAATGAAATTAAAAGCAAATAAATTAACAAACAATATGAATAACGATATAATGCAAATTATGTAAAATCGAGTTTCATCAATTATTCAAACATCAACTTTATAGTTATAAAATTATTATTGATTACATCAAAAGCATAAAATATTATAAGTAACATAAATTGAAATACTTGTTACATTAATATCTATCATGTTACATTAATTTTTTCATATATCAATATTGAATATCATATTTAATTTAATATGTGACTAATATCAATGTGATATATAATTAATGGTTATTTACAGATATTACAAAAATTGCGTTTCTTCTAAATTATCTTTCGCTTAAATGCATAATATATTTTATAGACACATCGTATACGATATTATGCATAATTTACAGTATAGAAATTGAATGTTACAGCTAACTTTTCTTGAATTCTATGAAATAATACTAGAGGCAACAAAGGAGTTACTCTCTTTAAAAAAGAAGATCGTGAAATTATTGCATAGGAAAAAGATTGGTGAAGAAATAGCTTCATTCAAAACCAATAATTCACAAAGAAGAGATGATTCTAAAGTTAGTGAACAGTTTTCGATTAAGAAGAATTCTAAAATCAAGAAAAAAAACTAATATAATTTGTTAAGATAATAATAAAATCTAGTTTCATTTCTGTCGTGCGGATCATATTAAACTTCTAATTTACTTCACACTGAACATTCGAAACGATCAGAATTATGTTAAACAAAATTGAGCAATTCTTACTGCATTTTTAGTTTAAACATATTCATAGTATGCAAAATTGCAATTAAACTAAAAGATACCAAGAAATAACAATTAATAAATTAGAATTTCATGGGTATGTTTTTAGATTTAAAAAAAAAAAAAAAAAAGAAAGAAAGGAAAATAAGAATATCAATGTAATACTTCACGAGGGTAATTAATAATTTAGAGAAAATAATTTAAATATATTAATAAAAACGATCTGTTTTTGCCAATGTTCTTCGAACTCAAAAAATATATTTAAAACTAAATTTGTCTACTAATGATAGCTTATGAAAAGAAATATTATTTTTTGAACATATCGTTCTATTTGTATCACATACATTTATACATACATAATTAACAATTATAAAACCATGAATATAAATAAATTTTCTTCGTAAGACTATTTTGTTGATATAATCATAAAATTTTTCGTAATACAATATTACTTGTTGTTAATTTAATTGAATATAAAAAAAAAAAGGAAAGGATTAAATTAAATCAAATGTATGTGACTTTTACGTATTAGGAAATACGGTATATGCTTACTTGCATTTAACATTTTGGAAGAAACAGAACAAACTTAAGTAATAACAATATTGAAATAAATGCATTTCAATGCATTCAATGCATTCAATTGTAAAACTAATTGAATAGTATGAAATACATATATAAATACGTTGGACTCTGGAACAGGTACAGATAGAAAATTGATTCATGAAACATCATAAAATCGAAAAAAGGAAAAACGTGGCAGTTGGCTTTTCTTGAAGCCACGGATGGAACGATTCAGTCTTGAGCGAGCAATAACAAAATTGTCAGTGTCATCGGAACAAGCGAATCCATTGCGCATTATCACATAACGATGTAGTGGAACTTAATCGATTTTTTTCTTCGATATACTTTCATAAAAATCCCAGGGCTCAGAAAGTCAGAGGAACGACAGCATGCGACTAAGTCGCTTATAGTAATGTTTCAGTTTAAAATGCAATGTACACGCGTACTTCTAATCCATTGTATTACGTTTTGGTGTCTTCGTTTTTTTTATGTTCATCTTAAAAATATTTAATATATATATTAAAATTTGATTCAGATGTAAGATTTGATTCTTTTGGATATCTATCAAAATCTTTATTACAAAAATAGTGTTTAATTGCAAAGCAATTTAATTAACGAATTTCACTTTCTATAAAAATAAACTTTTGTAATACATACAAAATGTAGATGAATGAGAAATAATTTAATTTTGTTTGATTTGATATTATAAAAACAAATATTTATGAACGTTGAAAAACTTACATATAAAGATACAAAATCACATATTTGTACACTAAATTGTAACGTATCACAGAATATATACGTTTGCAAATTGTGAATAATATAATTAATATAATCAGATAGATTGAAAAATGTTAAAAATAGAATAGACAGAATATATTAAGAAACGAAGACTTTTTAATAATAGATTTAGAAGTATCGCGTCATGTTATGGTACGGCTTAAGCGGGCTCAACAATCGCTATAAATAATTCTAAAATATAAACTATATATACTTTTTATATAACTACAGTACAGGACAGCAAAATACGCTTTCATGATAATAAAGCTCGATAGTAAGTAAACGTTTTATTCAGTTTGCCGGTATTTAAAATATTTTCAAAAAGCAAAAAGAAACACATAGTTTCGTCTAAAAACAATTTTTTCCTTCCGATATAAGTAAAATAATTTATTTTTAATTATAGTATTAATAAAACAATAAAGACATACAACATAACATAAATGAAAAAGGTAAACAGTGAATCTACGATTGAAATGTAATTCATATTTTAAATTATTTTCACTGTTTTTGCATTCAAATTCGATATATTTTGTATTACTTCCTATCGATTCATTTACAAATGTGTATCTTTGAGACAAATATAATTTACTAACAATTAAAATATAAAAAAACAGATTAATAAATTGACAGTAGAAAACATTTTTCGTAGAAATATCTACAACGTGTATGCGAATCACTCGGTAAACAGGACACCTTAGTTTAAGTAACTCAAATGCCATCGAGCGACTGTTACATTTTACTTTGTTTAATTGATTATCGAGATACAATATTGAATGAACTAACGTCTTTATAATATAACTAATACACGAACAATAAGTCTCTTTATAAAAATCGTCTGAATAATTATTGATGGTATGACTATTAAAAGGGATGTAGAGCATAATGAGCCCCAGGACATACAATATCTCTCACGTGAGTAATGTATCGTCTAATTCTTCTATTTTGCCTTCAGGCTGAGATAGAACTTTGCGCAATACTTTGCTGACTACATCCGATAATGATTCTCTTGCACCGACATCCAAAAAAGCCATACAACGCTGAAAAATTCAATTTATAAAATTATAACCAGTGCCAGAAATTTATTTTATAATTTTATCTCGTATTATAATTTTACACAATGAAATTGATAAAAATGTACCTGATATTCTTCTTCTCCTTGTTTCAATCTAAGTACTGCTATAAGAGCAAGTTCACTGTTAGCTTTCACATAACCATTTTTTTCTTTTGTTCCATTTACCAACATAGGTAAAAGCGATTTAAGTAATTCTGGTGACATTTTTTCCGGTGGTATATTACGAGCCAAATGAATGCAAACTTTAGCTAATAATTGTTTCACGTCATTATTATTGTTGTTCATTGACTAAAAAATAAATTACATGATAAGTTATTTATATATAAAGTTATAAATAAAATGAAAATAAAAAGTTATATCTACAATTATACATAAAATATAGATTTACATATTTTTAAAAATATTCTTACTCGAACAAAAGGAGGTAAAATTTGTTGAGGTATAGGTTGTCCTTCATTCATAAGATATTGAAACAGATAACCACAAGCTCGTATACCATTCATGATTATTTGAATTCGATCTGCACTCAAATATGAAAGAATTACTACACAAACACGATCTTTCTCTTTACTATTATAAATAGTTGTTGGCGATTCCTTTAATGCAACAAATAGTGCCGCAGAACGTCCATGTCTAAGCATCCAGTCAACACTGGTATCATTACCTAAAATTATTAATTAAAATATTAATTAAAATATTAATTAAACATATTTTATTTAAAAAAAATTAATAAAAAGAAGAAACAAAAGAGTATTTTATGTTAAAAATATGTTTTCAATCATAATTAAATATTTTTAAAAATTTTATCTCATAATTTCAAATACATACATAACAAATCTTCATTAAGCGCAATGTTAAGTTGATCTGGACTCAGCCACCGTATCAATGCTCCAAAACAACCGGCTACAGCGTTCCTTGTAACATCTTCTGGATGTCCAAGCATGCTACTTAAAGTAGCAAAGACTTGTTTTTTCATCGGTTCTGTTATTCTATCGCCAGCAGGCGTAAGCACACCTCTTAAAGCTTGCAACATTGTTTCTCTAAATAAAATATATGTGTAAATTTTGATTATACAAACATATAAATAATGTACAGATTGTTTCATTCAATTATTTAGTTTACCTAATAGCTGGATCATCACCAGTTTTTATGCCAGTATGAAGATCTGTGAATAGTGGATCGACACGGGTATGAATTACAATAAGATTACTTATAGCATAAGCGGCTTTTAATCTTACTTGTCTGTTACTATCATTTAATGCTTTTAAGAAAGTAGTTTGTAATTGTGGTAAAAATTGTTTTAACATTACTCCAACCTAATCAACGCATTTAAACATTAATTACTTATGTTATTTTTGTGTTATTATTTTTTTTAATATTGATCATAAATTACCTTACCTTGCCAAGCAAAATTGCAAGCGTTTCTAAAACTGCTGCTTTAACACTCCAATTAAAGCGATCACCGAGAATTCGAATTAATGGTCCAGTAATGTGTACAACACTTGGTTGTAAGGCTGAAGCATTAGTTAATTTTATAACTTCTCCTAGCCCTTGAGCTGCTTGTTCTTTTGCTTCTGGTAAACCATTTAATATAGCTTCTCTGAATATCGGAAGAATAGGAGTAATTCCTTTTGGTAAACAGAATCCTGGCAATAATTCTTGTCCCTTTAAGTCAGAAACTGCAAATCGAACAGCTTGTCTAATATCTTGTACATGTGCAATTTGTTGATCAGATGCTAGAGTCTAAAAATGAAATTTAATATATTTATTTTAATAATATCAATTAAAAATTATATTTAAATAAAAAATGTTAATTATAATAACATAAATATATTAAATAAAAAAATAATTTTACCTTAGTAACTGCTGTAAGTGCTTCCCAGCTCATCTGTAGTACATCTTTATCATTATCCGTAAATAAATGAATGAGACCTCGTAATAACTGTGGAACATATTGACTATAATCTGCGCGTGTGTCACGACAAAAAGCACACAACAAAGTTGCAGCACTTCGACGTCTAGATAAATCGTCTGCTCTTGTAGCTTCCATAAGCTGATCCATAATTGTTCTAATTCCAACTTCATCAGTAACAGATAGAATTACTGTTTGACAATATTCTAACTCTTGAACTTCATTTGGTGTTCCTTGAGCACTGGAGAGAGCAGTCAATAGCCCTGGTAGAATTTTGTGAAGAAATCTTGTTAATGCTTCACCTGCTACACTCGCCAAAATTGATAACGCTTTTGTATTAACAGGAGGAGTTGTTAATTGAGGTACTAAATATGGTAGAACAACACGAGATTTGATTGCCATTACTTGGCGTAAACCATCTAAAGTATTTTCTGCTTCTGCTGAATCTGGTGAATTTAATTGTGTTAACATTGCTGGTAATATGTCATCTAATGCTCTAACTCCTACAGTTGAATGTAAACCATCGAAAGTTTTAGCTGCTGCTTGTCGAACTTCTGGTAATGGATCACACAATGCTTTCCTAAAATACAAATAATGGTTTTTATAATTATCGAATCACTATCTTGAAATTTTTCATTAACATTTATTTAAATATAATAATATATAAATATAAATTTAAATCAAATATATAAATATAAATTTACCTTACTGTTGGAACCAAACTGATTACAAAGGTTATCACCATGTCCTTATTTGTACTTGTCATAATTTCTGATAATCCAATACATAC